CACACACACACACACACACACACACACACACACACACACACACACACCTGCAGAGATGGTAAAGGCACAGGAAGCATTGTATGGCAGAGAAAACCGGAGAGTAAGAGGCTGCGGTGACCCGATTTCTTCTCCAGGAGCAAACACAAGGTGCAAACACGTAAGACTGCCTGGAACACCACACCTGAGCAGAGTGGAAACATGCTCGCCCAGAATTACGGACGTCTCAGGGCACCTCGGAGAGGGAGCCATGAAGAAGGGCTCACACCAGCCAGGCTGCCTTCCAGCACATCAGGGCAGTTCTGGAGTACTCTCCCCTCCAGGGCTTTCTGTTTGGTCCCAAGTCCACTTCCTACCCTGCCTTCTTGCCCCGTCCACAGCTGCACACTCTAGGGACCCGACCTTTCCCTGCTCCAGCAACTGTCTGCTCATGTTGTCTCTTCACTGTGTCAGCCTCAAGCTGGTTTGAGCCAAAGGGCTCACTAGCTGCTTAATTCCATGTCATTCTGCGTCTCCATCGTCTTTCTGGAAGAGCTCTCTCACAGTGTGCCTCCTGCTTACTGCTCCTGACTCTGTCTCCACCCCACTCCTGTGTGACCCTGAAGACGTGCCGAGGGGCACCCGCACACACACTCTGCAGGGCAATCTCCTCGGGGGCCCAGGAGAAACCTCGCACCGTGATTTCCCTCTAGTGCCCAGCACCCCTCTGCAACAGGTCCACCGAGGCTTTGACTAAGCAATGAAGATTCTCTTGCCGGGATTCCTGACTCTGCCTAAACAGCCCTAAGCTGGGCCTTATCTGGAGAGAAGGGGCGGCAGGAGCTGCCCCACCCTGTCCCACACTGGTTTACATAACTCTTCAGCGGCAACCTCCTCCAGCTGGGCTGGGCATGGTTACAGAATGTTCACATGCCCACGGCAGCTGCACTGTCCCCTCCTGTCAGAGAGCTAAGTGTATCCCAAGATTGTTCCTGGGAGACAGACGGAGTCCACTTCAAAGGCAGCTCTGTCCCGGCACGCAGCTCGTGAGGCGGGCACGGGAACATTCCCAGCGTAGTTCCCAATCTTTCAGACACATGTTCTCCCCGTAAGACACCCCAAAGGCCTCTGGGAAATAGTCTGTTTCTATCGGCCTCTTCAGTCTCAACAGTAAAGAACTCTAGGTCTCACCCTGAAAACACTCTCTCCTCACCAGTCTCACTTCATGAGCCTCACCAAGCTGGGAATGCGGGATGGGGTGCATGCATCTGCTGGGAGAGGCTTCTGGGCCTCAGGAACACGGCAAGAACAGCCAGGAGGAAGCCCGAACAGACCACCCTCCCCCAGAACCCCACAGCAGCTTCTTCCCAAGTGCTCCCCACCCCCACACCTGCTGCCCTGCTAAGCCTGGTTTTCCCTCTGCCTCTCCAAGGACTCGCAGGAAGTGCCATGGCTCGTCTGAAGTAACTCCAGAGTGAGACAGGCAGATGGGTTCCAAATGTTTCCAAACACATGTCATTTCTAGGAACTGTCCCTCCCTCAGCCCTGCTCTGCTGGGCCTCCACCCTCAGGTTTAACTATTGGGGACCTGTCCTCTGGGACCTGGGCTCCTTGGAGCCTGCCACAGTCACTATCGTTAGAAATACTCCTGGCACAGTGCTCAGGGATGGGGTGGCCCTGGCCCAGATCCTGGTCCCAGAAGCCCACACACGGGAAGCTGGGGTGGGCCACAGCCAGGCCGGCCAGGACCGAGCTCTGTGAGTGTGACATCACGACAGACTTACCTCATCCCACTCCGAGGCAAAGGAAGGCGACTTCTCGAGCCTTTTCTTCCCGAGGCTGCAGTTGGACAGGGACTCGCTGCGACTCCCCATCGTGGTGTCGTCCGTGGGGGAGCAGGTCAAGAGGTCAGAGTCAGACTTAGACAGACTGCGGCTGAGCTTGAGCTCAGCTTTGGGCTTGCTGGTGGGAGGGGCTCGGCTTCTGGCCCCGCTCCTGTCTTCTTCTTCCTCGGCGGCGGCGGGGTGCAGAGGGAGTGTGTGAGTCAACGCGGCCAAGTGTGCTCTGCTGGCCGGGGCGGGTAGGCCTGCCGGCAAGCCCACTCTCTCGCTTTGGTCCAGGGCGCCCGGCTGCGGAGTTCCAGCGCCTTGCACGGCCAGCTCCTCTAGCTGCATGCTGGCCTCGTGGCAGGTGTCCTGCTGGGGGCACTCGGGGTGGTTCTGGCTGGGGGCACTTAGCAGCTGGAACGGGTCCTGCCCCACCTCACACACTGGGGAGGAGCCGTGAAGGAGACCGGAGAACTGCTCCGGGACCTGCCCGTCCTGCCCCTCCGCAGAGTCCTGGCTCCGGCTGCCGCTCTGCCTGTGGTCTTGAAGTGGACAAAGAGAAATGAAAAATTAAACGTGGCAAACCCAACAGAGGTCCTATGCGGCGCGTGATGGCAGAGCCGAGTTCCCAACAGAGAGGAAGAAAGGGGTTATGCAGGCTGAGGGGAGGGAGAGGAGACGAGAGAGGAAGGAGGGAAACAGTTTCATATTGTTCATGTTCAGTTTGTGCCCAAAGTTAGAGCATTTATGAAATTCCAAACACTGGCCTGCTTACTGCTGTCTGGCAGCCGCCCTCTTGTTAGATCTCTGTTAACATTAACAGCCAGACCTTGCTATATAAGGCGAGAAGTGCTAAGTACGGACAGAAAGGACACACGTAAGGACAGAGTAAGGACAGAACGAGGGACAGTGAGAGTGAGCCAGCAAGAGTGACTCCAGGGACTGTGGATACATTTCCAGAAAGGCCACAGTGTTATTCAGAAGCGCCCGCCCTCCCTTCCTCTGGCAGGCAGCTCCGAGGGGAAAAGAGAGGTCATGATCGCAACCTGCAACTTCTGGAATTCCTTAACTGAGAGTGCAAAACAGAACAGCGGGGAAGTGACTGTTTCCTTTCTCCTCAGGCCACTCAGATCCACATCCACGCCTCAGTCCATCCTTCCTCGGGAACAGGCTTTTCCCTTTTCTTTTTTCTTTTTCTTTTTTTTTTTTTTGAGAATGTGTGCGCCTCACTCCTGCCAAGGCCTCCCAGCTGCTCTTATTTGTTTAAGTTTAACCTTAGCTGATCCACTGGAAAAGGAAACGGTCTAGTGTGTCAGGCCGGGAGACAGCTGCTGTTCCCTGGAGGCCTCCCTTACACCCTGGAAATCTGAGACTGCTAGATCCTGGGGCCAACTTCTACCACACTCTCCAAAACTCCTGCTCTGAAGTAGCGGAAATAATCGGCCTAGTCCGTATCTCACAGCAGTGCCGTCCTGGGACACCCTGTGGGAACTCAGGCCTGGATTTTCACCTGTGCTGTCAGCACAGGCGACAGCATACCCACAGTCGGCCACTCCCAAAGCTAACGTTCAGGTGCATTCTCTCTGCGTAGCACCTATTCTCCATGTACGGAGCCAAACAATTCCCCGGTGCTTCCCAAGGGCCCAAGGACTGTTCGTAGGCTGGGGCACCACAGAACCGAGTGTGGTTCTCTGTTTCCACAGGTGAGCTGTCTGTGGTCCCCGGTGTGGCTGGCTCTGCCCAAGGCAGCTGGGCAAATGTCCATCTGGGAAGAGGAGCTGGCTGTTTCTCTCCCGCTGGGTGGCCTTAGTTGTGGTGACAGATCCTCTTGCTGAGCCTCTGCATCTAACACTGCATGTGACAACAGTGATGAGAATCCCAGTCCCCACGTGCGGTGATGGCACCTGTCCCTTGGGCGTCACACAGTGCTGCCTGGTGTTCTTTTGCCGCAGAGTGCACCCCCACCCCCGGCTCCTTGTGCTCATACACTGGCAGCTGCTCAGCCCTTAGGGGGGCCTGTACACGACATAGTGGGCTGGTGGGGAGAAGGGGTGCAGACAACACAGACCTGAGGTGCTAAAACAGCTCCCCAGAGAGACGTCAGGTCTCATAGTGCTGCTGCTTCTGAGAAGGCCCCTGTGGACCAACAACCAGCATGCTTCGGGGGCCGGGCACCACTCAGTTCTGGGCAAGCCTGCAGGGTGGAGGAGGGGCAGCCGGCTCACTCACTATGGCTCTGATTACTCACCCACGGAAGCCAGAAGTATGGACTTCAGGGCCTCCGATCTTTACATCTGAGCACTCTGGGACTTTTATACTGTCAGGTCCCTGTCCTGAGCAATGCACAAGGTATGAACAATTTGAATGAGTTCTCCAGAAAAAAAGTGAGAGAGCGAGTTCCATTCAGCATAACTGTGGCCTGAGGAAGCTGTGACTTTACCGCTGCAAACGGCCACTACAGCAGCAGGTTATCAGAACAAAGCTGCTTGGTCATTCTATATGTTGAGGCCACAGAGAAGGCCACCCACGACCCTCCATCGGAGGCTCAGGCCAGCAGGGCTTTCCTCAGAGAGGCTCATGGCAGCAGATTCTCCGACTGTCCGAAGCTCCTGCCCAAGTGGCGCTGTCCCTGTTGGCATTCAGGAAGGGACCTGGGTTGCATCAGCTTCCAGGATCTTCATTAACCATTTGTGGGTGGCGAAGAAGCGACAGAAGGAAAACTCTGCCCAGAACTGGGGACTGCCTGGCTCATCCTAACTGGGCCTCAAAAGCCAAGCAAGAGAATGTTCTGGCTGCCAGTGGGGTTGACAATGGAGGCCTTCAAACAGCCTCATTCATGCCAGCCATCAATGAAGAATGGGGGGGAGATGCCAAGGGCTCAATACCAGAGAGATGCCAGGGGAAGGCTGTGGGTAGAGAGAAGGGGTTGGTGCTTGTACAGGACGGAGATCTGTTGGGGGAAGGGCCTCTGTGAGTCACGGAAAGTATACCCTGCAAACAGCCAGTTACGTATCTTCCCCAGGACAGACCTCTGCACCTGAAGAGTTCACTCAGGCACAGGAACATTATTACCGTGTCTGTCTGACCCTCTCCCGCCTATTTGTGGATAAGGTCTTGCTAGGTAGCCCTGGCTAGCTTAGAACTCCATAGTCCAGACTGGCTTCAAACTTGCTGTCCTGCTGCTAAGTGCTGAGACTAGAACCGTCGTCAGTCCGAGACGATGGCTACAATCGGGATCTCATTAAGCTGGTGTGTTGCCTGTCCCTTAAACTGTACCTAACCAAAGCACGGCGGCTTACGTGACTTTTCTATTGCCGGAATAAAACAAAACACACCATGACTGAAGTAACTAAAAGAAGCAGCCGAGGGCTCACAGCCTGAGCCACGAGCACTGAGAAGACAGAGTGAACTGGAGACCATGGTGGGAATGCTAAACTTTCAAAGCTAACCCCGAGTGCCACACCTCCCCCAACAAAGCCATCCCTACTAAGCTCCCCAAATTGTGCCACCAATTGGGACCAAGCACTCAACGTCGAAGGCTATGGAGAACATCTCATTTAAACCACCACATGGCTCAAGTCTATAATTCAATTCAGGATTCTGAGACAGGAGGACTGCTCTGAACTCAAGGCCAGTCAGGATACATAACGAGTCTGTCTCAGAAAAGAATCAAGAAAGGAACATATTTAAGATATCCCTGCACAAAAGAATAGATGGAAAATAACTACTCAGTGCCCAGCTTGTGCCCCAGATCCTGCTGCATACCCAGGTGCCATGAGTTTGCTGCCATTCTTCTCCACCTTCCAAATGCTGGGGTGACTTGAGCGTGTGCCGCCATGCCTGGTTCCTGATGGTTTCCTCCTGTTCATGCGGCTTATTACCAATGTGATAGAGAATCATAAAAGAACTCCTACACCAGTTATGTGTTATCTTTGTGTATTATTACCACAGCTTTACAGACTTCTGAGAGAATTAAGCTGTGCATGGGAAGTGCTTAGATCCATGCCCGGGAGATGCTGACACTATCTGCCACCACAGCTCCAGAGACTGCTTACAGGTGAGACCACTCCTGACCCCCACAAAGATCAGCAAAGATGCCACACATGAAACACCTCCAAAAAGGAAAAGTCCTTGTGACCATCTGTTGTCTTCCTCATTCTCAGATCCCGACAATGGAGGAAGAAGCGGAGATGTAAAAAGAAGGCTGAAGCCTGAAGCTCGGAGGCAATACCAAGGGCCCACCTGCCCTCACTCACTCTCAGGAAGTGTACACGTGTCTGCCTTCACAGGCACGTCCAGGTGATACGAAGATGAAGGAGCCATGCCTGCCTCAGAGCAGGAAGGAAGACAAGTGCAGAAAGGGAATGCAAAGCCCGATGCCCGGGGGCTGGGCTGAGCCCGGAGGCTTCTCGGGATGGTGGGCTCTAGCTAGGCTCGGAAGGAGAGAAGCAGGCATGTCCCGGGAAGCAGACACCCAAATCCCGCCCAGAGCAGTGCCTCCTTCACCAATGGCCCACAGGTAGTCCTTCCAGAGACAGAGGAAGGGCACAGGGAGGCAGCCGCCCCCCCCCCCCCCCCCCACTCTCCCTGCCAGGACAGCAGGCTAATTCCCAGCTCCGCAACTTCTGATACCTCCTCACTCTGGGGCTGGTGCCCCTCCCTTGAGAGCTGTGGAGGCAGGGGTCTCCCGTGCTGTGTATTAACTACCCTGATGCTCTGCAGGGTCTCAAGGAGTCTGGAATAACAACGTTTTATTATTTGCGCATGTCCAGTCAGTCATCTCTGCCCACTCCAACAAGGTGTTTCAACTGAAAACTGCCATGAGGAGCTAGCTTGAGCAGGCCATCACACTGTCCTGCTTTCTGTCCTGAGAACTAGGGCTGAGTGCCCAGTCACGGTGGACAGTGCCCCACACCACGTGTGCCCAGCAGCCCCAGCACAGGGGTGTACTGTTTTTGGAGGGCACATGCTTTCTCCAGGACAAAGGTCCTGACTAGGTGACATGCTCACTACTACAGAGCATGAGCTGAAAGAGTCTGTTCCATTCCAAGGAACCTGAGACAGAACAGCCATGGAGTGGGGACTCAAGAGGTCCAGGCAACAGTCCATCCCAGCGATTTTCCCTTTTTCAGTACAGCTGGGATGCATGAGGAGGGCTGTGAGAGACACTCGGGTGTGAATCTGTGATTACTTCACTGTCTCCGTGGCCCCTCCCAGGTCTGTGATTCATCAGGGTTTCTGACGAAATGATTCTAGTCTCCTGGTTAAACTGGGTCTGGCCCAGTGGACTAGGGCTTAAGTGCTAGCTTGACCACCAATCAGCTCTTCCCCTCCTACCCTGAGGCTGAGTCTTGGGTTACACACATGAGGTGAGCAGGGGAGATGACCCGGCATGGTGCCACTCTCAGCAGGCACTTAGCACAGGGAGCTGCTGCCATCTTTGTCATTCTTGATGGAGAGCCATTCCCAAACTCCTCTGCACAACACCCTATGCAGAGGCTGGTTTGCTTTCCAGACTCTGATGGGGATGGTTTCTTCCAAG